CCTAGGCTGGTAATTTTGCTTGTTGAGTTTCGGTTTCCTCATTTTGCAGCTGAGAATTATTACCTGTTTGAACTATAATTACCTGTTTGAACTATATTCAGGGATTATAATAAGGATCAAATAATCATTACATGTTAGTGCTTTTGCAATGGATTATAGAAATACACATTTGAGGGAGGTATCAGGATATGCTAGAGACTCTCAACATTTTATATTTCCTAAGTTCCTTTGCCAAGGGAGCTTGCCACAAATGGTGATTCCTAAGATCTACTTCTAAACCTGAGTATCTGGGAGTAGGGCCACACTTGTAACTATAAACCTAGGTTGACTTTCATATACACAAAACATTGAGAGCCACCAAAAAAGAAATAAGTATTAATTTGATTTGATTTTTGATATTTAATATCTAATTAAGTATCTAACTTAATACATAATTAAATATGTAATTAAATCAGTGATTTAATCTAATTAGATATTTTGCTGATTTGTTGGCATGTATATATTTATACATGTGCATGTTATAATTCAATAAAAGAACCTTCTGGTTTACACTGTCAATACAGTTAATACTAGATTAAATAGTAAGTCATTTAAGTTGGCTAACATTTTCATCCATACTTTCTTTATAACTACGTTGCTGTGCTTTATTTCAAATGTTTTCTGAGATATACAAGGAGTGAAACCAAATGTTTTCACCTCATGAATCCAAAGGAAGCCACATGAATAGTAATAACATAGATTTCTGGCTTTGCTAATTATGCAAAACCCTGGACCCCAAATAAGTCTCCACAAATATTTTGTAAACTTGTTGGGTGTCTCCTATTTACCTATAATATGGTCTTCAAGCTGCAGTCTCCCTGTGGCATCTACAGTGACCTTTCTTACCAGTTCTGGTCCCTATGTTGAGTTCTCTTCTCTCTGAGCCATTAGAAGGTCCCACCCCTGTTACTGCAGACTGGATGCTGAAGTCCTTGCTAGGCGTGATGCCTTACAGTGCTTCTGGAACTTCCAGCCCTCGCCGTGTTGCAGTCCTGGTGAGCTCAACAAGAAAACATAGAAACTGGTTCTCTGTTCTGTGACTCTTCTGGTTCCCTGGGGCACCAAGAAAAGAGAAAATTAAAGTATCTTTCCTATTTGGAAGGCATCTGAAAAACAATGATTTCTGCTTTGCCACTGAGCCTCAGAAACAAAAAGTCGTTTGAGGGAGAGTGACAGCATTTTACCAGCTTACTTCTTTTGTTTGGTCCGCTGTAATTCCTTTCTCCAGGCATGTTCCCATGCTACCCTACTCTTCCTTACTGAAAAAATAAAATGTTAGACCTTGAAATAAATGCTTGGCTGGATCTGGGAAGTCCATATACCCCATCAGACACTGCATATTTGTGAATAACTCTTTTAAGGCTCAGCTGAACTCAACAGCAGTAAAAATAGTAGGGGCAGATAAAGGGGATAATGTCCTACCAAGTAGCTTTAAATTAATCATAAAAAAGTCAAATATTTTGAAAAGACTAATGATGAAAGGCAACCTGCTAGCTACCCTGCTGTCCTTTCCATCCCCCTATTTTCCACTGCCCAAATCAATCACTTTCAAAGTTTTGGAAATTTCTTCTTTTACTTAACTCTATACATTTAAATAATATGCTTATACTGTGAAGTCTTAGTTTTCTTTTTAGCATATGTATCATATGCTGACTTTTTGCAACCAGCAATGGTTATATATCTTTCACTCCATTCCCATCACCACCTTTCAAAAGGGCATCCTCTGTCCTCCCATCTTTCAACAGTTGTATGATTTCTGATTATGTCAGTGTTTCCTATTTATGCTATTGTGATTATATAACTATTTCCATGATTTCCTTTTTAATTATTTGTATTAATTTATGAAGTACAAGTATGATTTTGTTACATACATGGATTGCATAATGGGAAGTCAAGACTTCTAGTGTATCCATCATTCAGATAACATACAATCTCTCATCATCCACTCCCCTCTCAGCTCCTCACCTTTCTGAGTCTTTCTTGTGCAAATCTTTCTGTTTTATCTCAGATTAATTTCTTTTTAAGTTTAGCTTTGTGTTCTGTGTATCTATCACTAATTAGACCTGCAACTCCCACTAGAAAAGTAGTTATTTTCTTAATATATTTTAGGTTCATCAGGCATTCTATCAATTACACCTTCTTGGGTCACCTTTCTCAGAGCCATTTGTTCTGTCCCAGTCTTGGCCAGCTGCTGTTTCCCTCTGTTGTATAGTTTTTATTTGAGAAAAATTTTCACTGTATTTTTTTGTGTTTCTATATCTCATGGTTGATGTTTGTTTTCTTGATTTAATGTACTCTTCTAACACCCCCTCCCTTTTTTATGAGCACATTTACAAAGAAAGGAAATATGGAAGGTAAATTTATTAAGATTTGGCTTGTCTGAACATGTCTGTTGTATGCATTCACTTGGTTGAAATGCTGCTGGGTGTAAAATTCTAGGTTTAAACAAAACTTTGAGAATTTCGAATTCCATCTATTTGTGAGATTGAATGGAAGAATGTTCCATATTTTTATTATATATAAATTTACATAATACTTCTGTTTTCTCCAGAGTACTTCTCTTTCCATTTTGCCTGATATCCACAGTCCACAGTTCTTTTGGTTTAAGATTTCCTAAGGGTGAAGGGAAGAAGGAGATTTATACTCTAAGTATTTCTTAAATGTACTTTGAAGCAATCCTGCTTGAAACCAGTTCTTCTTGCTTCATTTAGGGAGGTTTGTATCACTACTACTACTCCTCAGCCTTTGGTGTTACATATTATTGGATTGCTTCTCAATTTCCCCACATTAAATTAGGCTTCAGGTTTCTTATGTTTACCAGGTCAGCTAGCACTAATGAGCCACTCCTACTTTTACTATTCTATCTTTATTGTCTCCTTTCTATGATTGTTGGTATCTGCCTTTTAAAATTATTTTTTTTGTCAGCATAGTGAAATTGACAGGAAAAGGAAATAATTTGTGTATTCAATCTGTCATGCCATCTTAAACAGAAACTCAATATAAATTATGTCCTGAATTTTTTATTTTGAAATTTTTCAAAGTTATAGAAAATGTCCAAGGGTAATACAATGAACAGTGTACCTTTGTCTAGATAAAATAATTGATAAGCAATTGCCATATACGTATTACCCCCTCTAGGTGTATGTGCAAATATTTGTGTGTGTATATGTATATACACACATCAAAAACATAGATACATATACATATATCCTGTCTCTCTCTCTGTCTCTAAGCGAACTATTTGAAAATAAATTGCAGTCACAAGATACTTCATAAAGATTTAGGAATCTTCTAAGATCAAAGAATACTATTTTACATAGCTGCAATACCGTTATCACTCTCAAATATGTAACATTGATACAATATTATATAATATATAATCCCTATTTAGATTTCCTCAATTGGTCCAATATGTTTTATATTTTTTTTAATCTAAGAGCCAAAAATGCATCATTGGCCTATTTCTGTAATAAATGTTAGTTTGAAAATCATATCCTTCTTTTACATTGCTCCTAATATTGACATTTTAAATAAGTACAGGCCAGTTTATTTATTTTTTTTTTTGAGATGGAGTCTCTCTCCATTGCCCAGGCTGGAGTGCACTGGCATGATCTCAGCTCACTGCAACCTCCAGCTCCCGGGTTCTAACGATTCTCCTGCCTCAGCCATCCAAGTAGCTGGAATTACAGGCACCCACCACTGCGCCTGGCTAATTTTTGTATTTTTAGTAGAGATGGGATTTCACCATGTTAGTCAGGCTGGTCTCGAACTCCTGACTTCAGATGATCTGCCCACCTTGGACTCCTAAAGTGCTGGGATTACAGGTGTGAGCCAATGTGTCCGGCCATACAGACCAGTTTCTTTGCAGAATGTTCTACAATATGTATTTGTTTGAATTTTTTACTTATGATTAGATTCAGATTAAATGATATTGACAAGAATAGTATGTAGGTGATATGTAGCTTCTTAAAAGCGAAAATTTACTATTGTTTTCATATGAGATAATATTTTTTTCCATAGGAGCTCACAATATTTTGTTTTCATAATATAAAAGCACATATCAAAGTACATAAAAATAAATAAACCATATTTATTTTATGGTTATATCTATTTCAAATTACAATAAAGACTCTTCTAATAACTTTTTATTAGAAGCTAACTGAAATGCACTAAATAACTATCATATGTCCACTTTTATTCCCATTAGGCATTGATGCCTTTATGATTCTGATGCAAAATTATAACTCAGTTTTCTCATTTTATGAAATATAAAAGTTGGAGTAGTCAAATTTTTATAGTCTCAGCTCTCAAATTTTATGAATCTATGAATAAGACATCACTTATAATTTTGAAAATGAAATAAATTTGAGGAAGGTAAAATTATGGAACAAAATGTCTTATTAAAATGTTTATTATTTTATATAAATTGACAATAGACATATTACTTGCAATTATCTACATTTCCATATTTACGATTTATTCATGACACCACTGTAAATTGTCCAACTCTACACCAATAATGCGTGACTTCAAAGTTCAGCTCACCTCACTGTACTTGCAACTAGCTAAATTTGTATAGATTATTGCACATTTAGAGCAAAGGTCAAAGTAAAAAAAAAAAATCCATAGTATAAGCTGGAAATCATTTTTACTTACTTGGCAATAAATAAAATACAATATTGCTCATATTACAAAGGAGAAAATACTGCTATCAATTTTATAGGCAGTTATTGTATAACAGCGTCCATGTTAATACATGTAAGGACTTTGCCTTTTATTTAATTTTATTGAATTAAATTACTTTAAAGGTAGAATAACTGCAACATTATCATTTCATTTTGATTGATTCCATTGAGTAAGAGTACATTTTAAAAATCATCAGCGCCATTAGTACAGTGCAAGTAACTCTAAATGTAAGAAAATTTGAGTTGAAATGATGGTATTGCATTTTTTTCTTATAGGAAGCTCTGATCATGGCAAGTATGGATCATCCACACCTAGTTCGTTTGTTGGGTGTGTGTCTAAGCCCAACCATCCAGCTGGTTACTCAGCTTATGCCCCATGGATGCCTGTTGGAGTATGTCCATGAGCACAAGGATAACATTGGATCACAACTGCTGCTTAACTGGTGTGTCCAGATAGCTAAGGTATGTGTCTGTTATTTCTATGGAAATGACATTTCTAGGTTAATATTTCCTAACCTAGAACAGTTTTAATATTGAAAACATGTCAAGGCTTCCCGTTTAAATAAAATAAAGTATATTTGCTACATTGAAAGATATATAACAGAGAGGCACTTTTAAGTAAACCACAGATTAAATGCATGATATATATTTTTAGATTAGTGTACTGTACCATTTTTTTTGTATTGACTAGATGCCAAAACAAATAGCTTGCTAGTCAGGGAGAATAATTGTTATTCTGGGTGTGTTTGGCTTATTTGTTTTGGTATAGTCTAGTTAGCAAATAAAATCCAAGAAAAAAAGAGTTGAATATCTGAATTTTTTCATATTTAGACAATTTTTAAAAGTAGCCTGTATGTTTAATTCTCAGTATTACAAAGGAGCAAAGTCTAAATATATTCTGAGCATTTTTGATGATTTTCAATTGGTCTTTAATGATTGGTAGTTTTGCTTCACACAAAGGCTCAGTCATGTCACATATATAAGGGAAGTGGTCTAGGGTGATGGGGAGGGTGGCTCTGTGGTTAACTAGAAAACGTCTGCTACTTTCTAGGGGAATGTGATTTATGGAATATCGCTAGTTATCTAATCTTTAGTTTTTTTTTAAGAGTGGCCAGAATTCTGGATTTTTGTGATTTCCCAAATTTAAATCTTAAGTCAATTTTCGAAACACTTTAGGGTCTAAACACAGCATTTTTGTCACACAGTCTGCTAGTATGCAACTTCCAGTGTACATTCTAAATGTTTAAAGCAACTATTTATGATTATCTATACCAAATATCTTTCTTGGTAATATTCTATTTCTAGAGAAATAGGTCAATGATAAGTTTTACTTACGTCAACTTTTAGTTACGTCAAAATATGACCTGAAGTCTTATAGATTCTGTAGATATTTTTATCTATCCATTTGTACAATATAAATGCCAAAATGATAACATAGTGGTTTGGGCCTGTTTTTTAAATAATTTAATAATTAATTAAAGCATATTATAGAAAAAAGAAATTTGAGATAATTCTTAAAATTTAAACCCCAAAATTTATTTGACAGCAAAGCTCAGCTTAGTTTTATATATTATTGACAATAAAACTATGTAGGTGATATTATTTAATATCATCTACTTATGTAATAACTGCAACTGTGAGTATTGTTTATGGTAATGGAGTTTGAAATATAACACTTCAGAAACTGATTTATCTGAGAATGTCTATAATTTATAAGGTGAGTTAAGCATGCAATAGAATTTCTCAAATCATCTTAGGGCTATAAATGAAAGGAAAGCTAAGCTTCAGGCTGGGTGCAGTGGTTCAGGCCTATAATTCCAGCATTTTGGGAGGCCAAGATGGGTGGATCACCGGAGGTCAGGAGTTCGAGACCAGCCTGACCAACATGGAGAAACCCATCTCTACTTAAAATACAAAATTTGCTGGGTGTGATGGTGCATGCCTGTAATCCCAGCAACTCAGGAGGCTGAGGCAGGAGAATCATCTGAATCCTAGAGGTGGAGGTTGTGGTGAGCTGAGCTCATGCCATTGCACTCCAGCCTGGGCAATAAGAGTGAAACTCTGTCTCAAAAAAAAAAAAAAAAAAAAAAAAAAAGCCAAGCTTCAAATTTGTTAGCTCTCTCTGTATTTTCTTCTGTGCTTGCCACAATTTAGGTTTTGTCCTTAAGATTGGTCTTATTAATATATCATTTATACAACATTGTACACTGTAATAAGAGAAACTACTTGGGAGTTCCCTGAATAATCACACAGTTTTATACCATTTTGCCTTTGCAAATGCCATCCCCTAAGCTTAGGTCTTCTCTTGGCTTCTTAATTCACACTGCATGATCTTATTCGCCCATCAACCCTGCTTGGGCATCCTCCATTTATGGAGTCTGTTCTCTTCAACTCTTCTCTGCAGGCAGAAGTAACTACTTTCTTTTTTGTATTAATTTTGGTAGTTGATATATTGAACACATTTATATTATGTTAATTTTACACTATGTATTTACTATCTCTCTGCCTATATGGTAAGCTTATTTAGTCATTAATCCTCAACAGATGCTGGTGGGCTTTTATTATGTTTCAGATACGATGCTGACTGAAATACATATATACAAATATATATATATATATATGGTAAACAACACATACAGGCCTGGGCCTGGTTCTCTTTGTGCACCCTAATGGATTGAACAGACATTCAACAAATGAAATAATTAATTATAGGATTGAATACTGTGGTTCAGATTTTAAAGAAAACTAACTACTCGGGAGACTTTAGGGAAGACACCACTGAGTCCTGAGGGAGAAGACTTCAGCTATGAGAATAATATTTAGGCAAAAGAAAGACCACACAGGGCCCTACAGATGTGATGACTGAGACTTATCATCCAAATGGAATAATTGTAGGGGTGAAAGGAGACTTTATTACTAGTTATGCCAGGATAACAGGTACAGAAAAGTCCTAAACAGAGCATGTTATATGGTTATTCACTATAGCAAGAAAAGTTTGAATTGTTTGATAAGTCCTCCAGGTAGTTACTGAAATATTTGACATGCCATCGACATAATCTCATTTATATTCTAAATAGATCATGCTAGTTTATGTGTGGAGGTTGGATTGAGGCAATATAAGAATGAAAATGAAGATACTAATTAGGAGTCTGGAGGCCGTGCAAATAAAGAGAAGTAGATGGAATTAAGATATATTTGGGGGACAAAATTTAAGGTATTCAATTATAGATTAGCTGTGGGTGGTGAGGGACAGGAGTACAGTGAGACCATTTCCTGAGCTGGTGAAATGGGGGATGAACATTTGTAGGAACAAATCAAGATTTCAGTTTCAGACTTGGCACACTGGAAAAGTTTATAGAAAATGCAACTGGGGATGTTAATGAGGTAGCTAAATTTGGTCAGTGCTATATATATATGCACATTTAGGAATCATAGGTATTTAAATATATGGAAAGATAAAGGATTACATTGGGACTGACTATATCTGATTCTTACTTATTCCTGGAAACTAAAACTGGATCTTACATACAGTTAGCCATTCAATAAATATTTAGTAAATATTTTTAACCCAAGGAAATAACAAAATCTACCGTTAAGTGGGGAGTCCCTTTTTTTCTATTTTGGGAGCAGAATTGTGTAGTCAAAGCAGACTCAAGGTGAGAAACGCTATGTTTATAGGTTGGGGCCCACTTTTCAGTTTTGTGAGTTTGTGTTATTCAGCCTCTGAATTCTTATTTCTCAATGTATATAGTGGCATTAATAATTACTACATATTTTCTCATCTGCAAAAATAATGTAACAAATGGTATATACCCATGGTAGATTGAATAATATCCACCCCAAAGATGCTAATACATCCTAACTCCAGAATCTGTGAACGTTGTTTTACATGTTAAAAGGGACTTCGCAAATGTAATTAAATTAAGGATATTGAGATTAGATTTTGCTGGATTACCCAGATTAGCCCATTGTAATCACAGGGGTCTTTGTAAGTGGGAGGCGGAAGGATCAGAGCAGGAGACAGAAGATGTAAGAGCAGAACAGAGCTGAGTGGTGCACCTTGACGATGGAGGAAGGGACCATGCGTTGAGGAATGTAGGCACCTCTAGAAGCTGGAAAGGACAAGGAAACAGATTCTCCCTTAGAATCTCCAGGAGAAATACAGACCTGCCTGTACCTTGATTTTATAGTCTGGTGAAACTGATTGTGGATTTCTAATCTATAGAGTTGTAAGAGAATAAATTTGCATTTTTTCAGCCACTTTTCGCCCTAAGGTAGGCCCCAGTGTCTGTTTCCCTCTATGTATCCATGAGTTCTCATCATTTAGCTTCCATGTATAAGTGATAACAAGTGGTATTTGGTTTTCTGTTCCTTGTTAGTTTGCTAAGGATAATGGCCTCCAGCTCCATCCATGTTCCTGCAAATGATATGATCTTGTTCTTTTTTATGGCTGCATGGTATTCCAAGGTATATATGTACCACATTTTCTTCCCAGTCTACCATTGATGGGCATTTACGTTGATTCTATGTTTTTGCTATTGGGAATGGTGCTACAATGAACACACATGTGCATATGTCTTTGTAATAGAATGATTTATATTCCTGTGGTTATATACTCAGGAAGATGATCGCTGGGTTGAATGATACTTCTGTTTTTAAAAGCTCCTTGAGGAACTGCTGTATTGCTTTCCATAGTGGTTGAACTAATTTATGCTCCCACCATACAACAATGTATAAATGTTCCTTTTTCTCCACAACCTTATCAGCATTCTGACTGGTGTGAAATTGTATCTCTTTGAGATATTGATTTGCATTTCTCTAATGATCAGTGATGTTGAGCTTTTTTTCATATGCTGTTGGCTGCATATATAACTTCTTTTGAAAAGTGTCTGTTTATTCCTTTGCCCACTTTTTAATGGGGTTCTTTTTTTTTCTTGCCTATTTGCTTAAGTTCCTTATAGATGCTAGATATTAGATCTTTGTCGAATATATAGTTTGCAAAAATGTTCTGCCTTTCTGTAGGTTGTTCACTCTGTGGGTAGTTTCTTTTGCAGTGCAAAACCTTTTGATTTAATTATATCCCACTTGTCAAAGTTTGTTTTTGTTACAATTCCTTTTGGTATCTTCATCATGAAATCTTTGCCCATACCTATGTCCTGAATGGTATTGCCTAGGTTGTCTTCCATAGTTTTTATAGTTTTGAGTTTTACATTGCAATCTTTAATCCATCTGGAGTTGATTTTTGTATATGGTATAAGGAAAAGGTCTAGTTTTAATCTTCTGCATATAGCTAGGCAGTTATTATGGCACCATTTATTGCATAGGAAATCTTTTCCCCATTACTTGTTTTTTTGTCAGGTTTGTCAAAGTTTAGATAGTTGAAGGTGTGATGCCTTATTTCTGGGTTCTCTTCTATTTCATTGGTCTGTGTGTCTGTTTTTGTACCAGTACCATGCTGTGTT